TTAGACATCTACAGTTTTGTTTCTGCTATGTTTGCAAAATAAGCACCTGTGCTCATGTACATGTTTCTGGTACCTTTTTTTTTTTTGGCTCTTATCCCACACATCTTTTTTTTTTTTCTTTTGTTTTTTTCTTCACTTTTTAAGAGGTTCCAGCTTTAGAAAGGCAGCTGGAGTAAAGCAAAGGCTTTTGTCAACCACGCATTTTTGTAGTTTGAGTAGCTTGTGTCTTAATTTTGCAGTATTTTCTGACCTAATTAGGGCTTGCAGACTGTCTTTGTTGGATGAAGAGGGATTCCCATGTTCATTCAATCCTCAGCTCTCTTCAAAGATTTACATAAAACATTTTCCACTGCCTTTAACTTTTATTCTAATTTAACTAAAAAGTTAATTGTGATATAAAAAAGCTACTATTTCCTTTTCAGAAGCAACAGACTCCACTTTTAACTACAATGTTATTAAAAAAACAATACCTGTTAAGTATGTTGGTTTTGCAAATAGAACCAGTCAGAGGGCCTCAATTATGTTTGGTAGTAACTTTTGAAGACTGGAAAATGTCATTTCATATTGAAACATGTAAATTTACAAGACCTGTTCCAGACCATCTATCTGTCTGAGAAGGTTTCTGACTCAAGTCTTCCCCTCTCTCAATTCAGAAAGTCTGGGGCATTTCAGACACTTTACACTTTGAGAAATTAGAATTAACATCTCTTGAAGTCTTACCAGGTCTTAAGCAGTTCAGTTTTCCCTGACAGCTACAAATTTGGATCAACGTGGGGCATTTGCCAAAATTATTCCTGCTTCTCTGTGCCTGCATTCCTACAGCTGGGCTTTGCCCACCCCTCCATCTCCTTTCACCTAACAGCTTGTGTCTTCTTCTCTCTACGAATTTTCAGCAGTGGCATGTGCATGATGGCTGACATGGGCATGGTTTCTTGTTACACAGGTGTAAGACCTTGAGTTATGTACTTTGCCATAGTTAAACTGTCTGAGGACAGGGGGAAGCTGCTGAAGTTCCCAGGCTCCTATTGCCTCTGCAGCTTGTAGCCCAGCCAACGACTTACAGGGTTGTAGTTTGAAAGCTTTATTTGAGCTACGCCTGTGCCTCTCCACCAAGGCAGTGTCACAGGTCAATATGTGTCCTTTGGCAGCACTGCTGTGCTGCCAGCTTCAACCTGGCCGTGCTTTCCCTCAGGTGGTGCCGACGCTGAGGACCCTGTGGCAGCACGGCCATCAGGTGATAGTTTCCTACGAAGAGGACCTGGAAGTGCTGAAGCACCGAGACCTGTGGCCTGCCATCCCATACTGGTGGGGAAACAAAACCACCACTCGTGCTCTTATCCAGTATTTAGAGCGAAAGAAGAGGATGGGCCGTCCAGGTAGGCACAGGGAGTCACCTGGTGGGGGAGAAACAAAGGGCATGTACAGTGATGCAAAACAAGGAGGAAGTTGGGCGACCGTAGCGTTACGGGGCGTAACCACTTGGCACATGTTGGATGCACGAGGTGCACCCATGTTGCTGAGCTCTCTCCCTACCCCTTGGAGAGTGCAGCGTTTGTCTTCAGTGGTGGGTGCTGTCATGCCCATCTCCCAGGCTGCTTCCTCACTCCAGCACTTGCTGACAATAAGGGAAGTGCGTTCTGCTAGTTGTCTTGTGACAAGAAACCCCTACCAGAAAGGTAGTTGCATCAGGAAACAGCAGCACTGAAGCGTGCTGGTGCAGTCTAAGCTGGAAGAAGTTCAGTTCCTCACCTCTGATGCAGCTGTGATGTGCACACACGGGGTAACAACGGGGAGAACTGATCCTCAAGCTTCCCAGCTGAAGGACAAGGCTTGTGTAGGTGCACCCTGTCTTCCCTTCTGTGATAGGGGAAGGCTAAGCTTTGGAAGCAACCCTTCCAGAAACTATTGTGATTTACAGAGGAGGGTAGTTAGTGGAGAAGCTTTAGTCTGCAATGAGTAATTAGATAAATTTAGGTAACCTGGAATGGTTCAGCA